CACCTTCTCTCTTCTCGCTCACCACATCTCATCCACGAGCTCCTCCTACAGAAAGTATCCCAAAGCCTCTATCGACTTCTCTCCCTGTCCTCTGCCACCACCCAGGCCAAGAGCCATCATTTCTAGCCAGGCAACTGTAGCAGCCCCTTGCCTCCTCACACGTCATCTGGCCCTGTTTCCTGCAGTCCAGTCTACTCACTGGAGCAGGCACAGTGAACCTTTTATTTTTATGTAACTCGGATCACACCTCGTCTCTCTTTAAGGATCCCCATTGCAAGTGGAATTAATCTAAACCCCTTCACAACCCTCCCTGCCCCAGGTCCTGTGCTTTCCACCAAGCCACCTCTATTTCCTCCTTCTTGCTCATGAAGCCCCGGTCTCACTGGCTTCAAGTTTTCTAAACATGCCAAGCTTGCTCCTGCCCCAGGGCCTTTGCACTTGTGGTTCCTGAGGCTGAAGCACTGCACCTGTGATATGCATTACGCCTGCCTCCTTTTCCTTCTGCCAGTCTTAGCTCACTTGTCACCTCCTCAGACCACAACACCGAACATCACCCCAGCCATTCTCTACCACATTACCCCGTATTTTTCATAGCCCCTGTAAGTCTCTGAAGATATTTTATTTAGTTGGTAGCTCACTTGTTTATTGCCTGTCTCTCCCACTGGAATGTGAAATCTATAGGGGTGGGGGCCTTGATTCACAGCTGTGTCCCCAGGACCTAGCATAGTGCCTGACACTTCGTAGGCTCAATAAGTACTCCTTGGATGAATAAAGCCCTCCCTAGCTTTGACTTCTTTTGCAAGCTTGGAGCGGACTTTCAAATCAGTCCTATTTCCCACTCTCACGGTCGCAGCCCAGAGCCTGCAGCAACCCCTACCACCCACCCCACCACCCTATTCTGTTTCCCCTCCACATAAACACTGCTCTCCCAGGCTTCAGGGTCAACTATTCTTTTTCCCCTCTGCCCTTTTCCCCTCATTGGACTAATTCTCCCCTGACTTTCAGCAGTAATTTAGCTCAGGCATCACCTCCTCCCAGCAGCCCTCCATGCTTTCCTTTCAGGTTAATGCTGACATCTGGGCCCTGTAGATTCCTGGCGCCTCCTGGTCCAGAGGGCAGTCCCCACTCCATATTTTGAGAGCGTCTTTCTCCTTCTTGATGTGGGAGCTGCTCAAGGACTAATCCATCTGGCTCATCACTAAGTCTGCAGCACTCCTCTCCAGGCGGGCCCGGCACAGGCACTCAGGAAACATCGAGCTGGGCTGGTCTCATCTCTGCAGGGATGGGGACATCGGGGATTAGATGGGTCAGGCCGGTGTCTCCCGGCCGTGTGACCCACGCAAGCCACTTCCTCTCTTTGAGCCTCATTTCCCTCCTCTGTAAAATGGATATAACAATCCCAACTTCTTGAGGTTGAGAGGATTCAAAAGAGGTTTCTCTCGTCTATGTAATGTGCTGGCACGTGGATGAGGTTGGGGGAGCGGTGGGTCCCTTCCCGGGTGTGGTCTGGACCCTAGGCTTAGCAACTGCTTCTGTGGGCAGCAAGCCCCCTCAGGCCCCCCAGGGGAGGAAAATGCATGTCTTCTAGTGAGCCCTTGCCCTGGCCCTCTGCCCTGAGACATGCTCCGCAGGGAAGGAAGGAGGCAGGCAGCCTGGATCAAACCCTAAACTTGGAGCCACATAACCGGATTTGAGACATGGCTCTATAGTTCACTGGATGTGTGACCCAGGGCAGGCCCCCACACACCTGTGAGCCTCAGCTACCTGATCTGGAATGGGAGCTAATAAAACATAGCCTAAGACTCAAAATGACATGGACAAACAGCCAAGTCTTTAGTGGGTGCTTGATTATTATACCCCCAAAGCAACATCCTGCCCTTCTCCTGACTCTTCCTGTGGTTTCAGGTGTGTGTAGCTAGGTACCCTCTACCTAGGGTCAAGGCCATTCTGGGCGGCAAAGAGGAGCCTTCCCATGGTCAGCTGGGACCTGGCTGCAGTACCTGCAGCCTGGGTGAGGTGTTGGCACTCTGGGAAGCTCCAGATGCTCAGGGGGATCCAATGCTGGTGGCCTCCCCAGGTGCCAATGTGTAAGTGGCCAGTCATCCCCCGAGGAGATGTCTGTGGAGCCCTCCAAGTGGACATCAGTGCAGCTTGGGAGGACAGAGGATCCCTCTCCAACCCTCACTCAGATCCTCACTCATGCATGGGAGAGTTCATTCTCCCACTGCTGTATTTCTAGAATAGGTGTTAATAAATGTATGTTGGGAGAACAAAGTTATTCCATACATTAAACAAACACGAGCATCTCCTGCACTTAGCTCTGTGTTAAAAGATATACGTGACGTAAGTGGCCTTGAAGACCCCTTCCCAAGAGCAGCCAGAGTGCCTCTAAAACTAAATCTTCCCAGTTCTTCTCACTCCGTACCCAGCTTCCACTGGTTGCCACATTCCAAGCGTCAGGACTTTTCCCAGCATCAAGGTAATGCCCAAGTACCCCATGTGCCACGGGGTCTGGGAAGGTTGTGCCCTCACATCCATAACTCTCCAAACCCTCCCCACCTTTCATGTCCCGACTCCAGCAACCCTTCCCCGTCCCTCCCGGACTCCCAGCCAGCCATCTCCTCCCTCCCACTGCCCTACATCTATCTGGGGGGTTATACCTAGAGAGACCAGAAGGTGGCGCTGAGGCTCCCTTTTCCCCAGCGCTGGACCGGACTCCAGACCCCACTAGGACACAGTCCCTCCCTCCTTTTCTCCCCAGCAGGGATAGAAGTGGGCTCTGTGCCCTCTAGATGACCCCTCTCTTTCCTGTTGGCTCCTGAAAGGAGACCTAAAGAGATTCCAGTTGCTCCTGCAGGCCCTGGGTTGTCTTTTCCTGCCTGTTGGGTGAGGGGGTCCCTCGGGGCCAAGCTGCAGCTGGTGGGGCGGGCCTGGGTAGGGTGGGGCGGAAAGCAGCTGCCAGAGAAAGAGAAAAGAGAAAGGGGGGAGGGAGGGGGGGAGAGAGAGAGAGAGAGAGAGAGAGAGAGAGAGAGAGAGAGAGAGACGAAAAAGAGAAAGAAGAGATAAAGGACAGAGAGAGGTGCTCGGGTTCCCAGGCTCCTATCCCAAATAGGTGGACCAGGGGACTGCCCTCTGGACCAGGGTCCCCACTGACAGTCACTCCAGGACAAGGTATGTGGCTGAGGAAGCAGGTGGGGCTGGGGGAGCGTCAGCCTGCCCAGCAGAGCAGGCCTGGGGGCACTGAGGGGTTGGCCAACTAAATTCAGCTGCTCAGCAAGAACCCCTGAGCCCCCTCCCATCTCACCCCTTCCAAGGTGACCAAGTAGAAACTTGGGATGCAGCGCAAGGAGCCCTTGGGATGAGCATAGGAGAGGAGCGCTCTATTGCTGCTCTTGACTCACCTTGTGAATTTGCACCTGGCTCTTTCCATCTCTGGACCCCAGTGTCTTAATCTAAAAAGGGAAGTGGGGAGATCTTGAAGATGGTTCCGTGGGGTAACTTTGCAAGTGGCCCCCTCGCCAGGGATTAGCCCTCCCTGGGGCCTCGGGAAGACCAGGGGACCTTTAAGATCCAAAAGAATGCTTTCCTAACGGTGGGATTTCGGACAGTGGGGAGAGGGGCTCGTTTGGAGAGATGGGCGGCCCCTCCACGTCACGGGCCCTGGGGCCCCAGGGCCCCGGGTCTTTGCCTCTCTCCTCAACCTGTTTCTCGGGGACTCAGGGTGGAGAGTGTCACAGGGTGGGGGTGGGGCGCTTTCCCAGCTGTCTGGTGTTCAGAGGTCCTCATTTGGGAAAGGATGGTGGGTGCAGGGTGAACGCCTTTTTCTTGCTCTCCAAGATCAGAAAGGAAGTGGATTGGGTAGAATGGGTGTGGGCCGAGGTAGGGGCAGTGGTAGGCATAGGAATGTCCCAAGGTAATGAGGGAGAGGTCATCCAAGCCCCTTTATTAACCGCGGCCGCTTGCCCTGGTTCCAAAGCCCCTGCACTTTGGAGTCATTAGCTCGTCTGCTGCTCGCAGCACTCAGCCCTTCCAGGATGGGAGGAGGGGCGGGGGCTGGAGCCGCTCCTCCCTCGCCCTGCTCTTGGGAAAAGATTGTTCCAGATTGCTCTCTGGGTGGGAAGGAGCTTGCACAGTATCCCAGGGTCTCAGGGAACCTAGGGCGACTGAGTGCACTGTCGGTGGGGGAGAGTCCCGTCGAGCACAGGTTTGGGAATTATATCAGCCTGCGTTCAAATCCTGCCTCTGCCGGGCGTCCTTAGGCAAGTCAAGTACCCTCTTGAGGCTGCAGCCTCCTCTGTGCACAATTCGAGCAGCAGAGCAGGGCCTTATAGGTGGGAAGTAAGTGACATAAAGCAAGGAAAGCCCTTTGCACAGTATCGGGGACCTAGCAGATGCTCATAGTTACTCTCCTTACGGAGATTGAAAGGGAGGCCCCCAAAAGGGGACGGACTGGCTAGAGATCACAAAGCTAGGCCCTCCAGTGAGTTAGAGCCCCTACCGTATGCACCCAGCACGTACCCACAGTCACCGCACCCCGACTGTGATTACTCCCCTCGGCTCACTCCTGCCCCCAGCCAGCAAGGCCTCGGGTCTGGGACGGAGGGGTGAGGACCCCAAAGCGGAAGGATGGAAGAGGCAGAGAGAAGCATCTCCGTGGCACTTGTCCTCCTTCTCCCTTGAGAAAGGGCAAAGATGGGGTCCCGGTCCGAGCTCTGTGCAGGGAGAGGGGCAGTGAGGCAGGGAGAGGGGCACGGTGGGGCGCGGAGAACCCCGTTCGCGCTTCTGTACCGGCGAGAGTGTGAGAGCGGCCAATTGTCGAGCCCCGCGGACCCAGCGGCGGGCCGAGCATGGAGCGTGGTGGGTGGGGGCGCCCTCGGCCCTCACTCCGCCCCGCGCCTCTCCCCGCAGCGGGGGCGCCCCGCCCCCCGGGCGCCCGACGTGGACGCGGCCGCCGCCGCCGCCGCCGCCGCCGCGCGGGAGTCGCTGTCCGCGGAGCCGACATGCAAGCGGCGCGGGGCGGCGCGGGGTGGCCGGGCCGCGGACCGGAGCGCGAGCGCCAGAGACCGCCGGGCACCGGAGCCGCGTCCCCCTGCGCCGCCCCGGGCCGGCTGGCCGGAGCCGCCGCCATGCACCCCGGGCCGCCCCGCGCCGCACTCCGCCTGTGGCTGGGCTGCGTCTGCCTCGCGCTCGTGCAGGCGGGTAAGGGGGCCCAGGTGGGGGTTCGGCGCGGGCCGGGCGGTGGGAGCCCTCAGTTCCCTCCCTCGCTCCCTGGGAACCTGTCTCTACCCACTCACTGCTCCCTAACGCCACCCTCAGCCTCTTCCCTGCCTTCTCGACCCCCGGCCCCTTCTTCCAGCCCCTCCCCATCCTTTCCAGCCACCCCAGTCCTGGGTTATAGGGTCTTGTGATGCTCAGTTCCCTCATACCATTGCCCTGAGCCCAGGCCTTTGCCTCAGTTGCCCTAGCTCCCTTCTCTGGCCCCGGGAGCATCTGAGGACACCAGTCCCCCCACCTTGGGCCTCCCTCTCTTGTCCCCAAAGGCTATGCAGGCCAACTCTGCAGATCAGAGAGGAAGGGGGTCCCAGTGGGGACCCAGTGTGCGTGAGCATGTGTATGGGGATGTGTGTGAGGACGGGCACCGATGGCACCTGGTGGGCAAGGGTGGCCCCCTTAGCCTGGTGCAGTCAGTGCCTGGCCTGTCGTGTGAGGCCCGGCCTCATCCTTGCCCAGCCTCCCTGAGGCCCAGTCTCTGTCCCTTCTGGCTGCCGTTTCCTACCTCACGCCTCCCTCTATCCATCTCTCCGGGCTCGGTGCTGTCTCTCTCTTACTGCCTCCGTCTCTGTGTCTGTCTCCGATACCCCACTGGACTGTTCTGTGGATCTGTGTATGCCGCCACCTGTCTGTGTCCCTCTGTCTCCGGGTCCACGTCTGGCTTTGTCTCCTCTTGGATCTCGGGTCCACTCATCTGTGGGGTGAGGGGTGCCGTTCAGGCCCAGGTCTTCCCCTGTCGGCCCCTGCCCCTTGTGAGACATAGAGGCTGTGTGACTCCACTGACCTTCTCCTAGAAGGTTCTTCCTTCCCCGACCCCCGCTGCCCCACCACTCCCTCAGCTGACCACCTTCTATCCTCCTCCCACACCCAGAAGGCCCAGGTATTCTTGAGTCTCTGCTGCAGGGCCCTGCTCTGAGAGACCCCCCCATCCCCCACCACCTCCCCACCGCCCCTCAGAGCTCACAGAGGCCCTTCCGCAGGCTTCATTCTGCCTGGGTCACCACAATCCCAGGGCTCCTCTCTTGATCCCTGCTCCCAGCCCGGGGCTCACCCCAGCCTGCTGCTTCCCCCCACCCCTGCCGGGTCTTGCCCCCTCCTCAAGGTCACTCACTCCACAGTCCAGAACTATAGAAAGAGCACTGGACTGGAATTCCTTTTGGCTGCTTTTCATCAGATGAACCCTGGCCACCTATGTCTCCCCCCAGGCCTGTCCCCCCGACCTCCATTTGATCTGGCCTTGGCCCAGGCCCCTCAGTTTCAGCTTGGACCCTGAGCAGGGCCTGCTGTGGCCATCTGAGGCTCCCAGCCTGAACACAAGGAGCCTGGGGCCTCCCCAGCCTGGCCCTGCAACCCCCCATGGAACAGAGGCCCACATGCCAACGCCATGGAGGCCTTGGTTTCTTCCTTCCCCGCACTGCATGGCCTTCCTCGGGCTTCCACTCATGAGGCGGGGCCCGGGCCTCACAGCAGGGGGTGCTCAGGCTCAGGTGCCTTCCCCACCCCCAGACAGCCCCTCTGCCCCAGTGAATGTCACTGTCAGGCACCTCAAGGCCAACTCCGCCGTGGTGAGCTGGGATGTCCTGGAGGATGAGGTTGTCATCGGATTTGCCATCTCTCAGCAGGTAACCCTCCGGGATGGGAAGAGCCCATCACGGTAGTAGAGGTTGATGGGGGAGGAAAAAGGAAAAGGACTGAGGAGCAAGACAGACAGGCCGAAAGCCGTCCAGACGGCTTGACAGGGGGACCCCAGAGGGGCTCAGTGAGGGAGGGCTCCAGAGCCTTTGTTTGCAACCTGAGAATTAAGAGTGTGGTTATGATCTTAAACAGACCTGAGATTTGGACCTGGCTCCAGGTCTCACGAAACGTATGGCTTTGGGCAACTTCCCTAACCTCTCTGAGCTGTCTCTTCACCTGTAAAATGGAGATAATGATATCTGCAGAGATGATGGAATGCATAAGTAGGATTAGGTATGCACAGGCTTAGCATGGTAGCCAGGTGAGCCCATTATCGCCATGGGAGAGGCGGCAGAGTGGGGTGGCGCCTGGGCACTGGACACAGCGGGCCGGCTCTTGCCTTGGCAGAAGAAGGACGTGCGGATGCTGCGCTTCATCCAGGAGGTGAACACCACCACCCGCTCGTGCGCCCTCTGGGACCTGGAGGAGGACACGGAGTACATTGTGCACGTGCAGGCCATCTCCATTCAGGGCCAGAGTCCGGCTAGCGAGCCAGTGCTCTTCAAGACACCGCGCGAGGCTGAGAAGATGACCTCCAAGAACAAAGGCAGGCCGCTTCACTGTTAGGAAGCCTGGGGGGTGGGGGCGGCAGCTGCTTGAGCAGTAGGAGGTTGAAGCAAGCTCTAACTTCCCATCCCCCCTCCCACCCTCTTACACCCCCTACCCCTCTCCATTGCCTAGTAAAGCCTTACCCAAGAGAGAGGAAGTCACTCTAGTGACCCAATGCAATGGGCATATAAACACTTAATTTTGGACTGTCTTATCGCTGCAACCCCAAGTAACCACCAGCACATTCTAGAACTTCTAGATGTATGGACACTTATAGAAATAAGCACTTAATACCTTGGGCTTGGCCACCGAGGAGTGGCCAGGGGAGGAAAGGAGCCCAGACCTAGTGTCTCTCTCCTCACAGACGAGGTGACCATGAAGGAGATGGGGAAGAACCAGCAGCTGCAGACAGGCGAGGTGCTGATCATCGTTGTGGTCCTGTTCATGTGGGCCGGTGAGTCTGGCCTCCAGGCCCGTCTTCACTTGACCTCTGGGAAGGGGAGGGTCCTGGCCAGGCTCCTCCTTCTCTCACAGAGACAAGGGTCAGGGGTTTGGAGAGAGCTAAGAGGTCAGAAGTTCCTAAGGCCTGCCAGGCACAGCTCTGGGGACCAGGTCTGATCCCTTCTCTTAACTCAGCCCTCGCCCAACAGAGAGCACACGGAGAGCCGCCTTGTGGTGGCCCGTCCACAGCCCCTCTGCCTTCTGGCCGCGGCATCGGGGTCCTGGGCCTCCAGGCGCTGCCGGCTGGGGCAGCTCAGGCTTGGCACACGCTGTCACCTTTCCATCCTTCCGCACTGGCTCTGAGACCACCTCCATAAAACCTCCCCAGCCCGTGCACTAGGGTGTCACTCCTGTTTGCCCCCTGCCTTTTTAATCCTCACCCAAGGATATGTTTATTGATTTTAGAGAAAGAGGGAGCGAGAGAAACATCGAGGTGAGAAACAATGATTGGTTGTCTTCCGTATGCACCCTGACCGGGAATGGAACCCACAATCTTTTGGTGTACGGGGACAATGCTCCAACCAACTGAGCCACCCGGCCACGGTCGTTTGCCCCTCTCTTCAGCCCATCTTACATAAGTTAGTTGGGCTTGTATCTCTTTTCCCTTTTACCTGTGAGCTCCTTGAGGATAAAGATCAAGTTTCATTTTTGTACCCAGCCAGCATTTTCTGAACAGCCACTCCATTCCATGTAGCGCTTCATTCCAGATAGTGCTACAGCTACAACTAGGAAGAGAGAGCCTCGTATTCCCCAGTGGCTCAGCCTGGGAGAAGCCAGGCCCTTACTTACCTGTAATTCAATGAGGTGAGTGCTAAACAGCACTGTGTATGGGAGCAGGGGAGAGGGAATCGATTAGAAAACAGGAAAAACACAAGGAGTGGTAACGTGGGATTTGAAGGGTGAATAGGAGTTCACCAGGCAGCCAAAAAGAGGAAAGCAGGGTGTTTTGGGCACAGGGTGTTCAAGAAACAAATTAAGCTCACTCTGCCTCAGTGCAGCTGTAGCCCAAGAAAAAAAGTAGCAGGGGAGTCAAGGATGGCGAGGCTGTGAGGTGGACCGGAGTCTGTTCTGAGGGACTTGAACACTGCACCAAAGCTGTATGAGCCTGGTGCGTGAGAGGGCAGCTCTCTCAGGTAGGAGAATTTGGAAAATAAATGTCCCATAGGCACAGAGAAAAACAGGCGCTTGGGAAAAACAGAAAAACACAAAGGTTTATACAAAAGAGGAGGTTTGCTTATGGCGCATCATTAGACTTGGCACAGATAGTACTACATCATCATAACAATATAAACATAGTGAATTAACCCAAAATTGTCTCATCATCCTGTCAGGGAGATGGAGAAGGAGTCGGGGGAGTTGTGAGGCTTTATAAACATTTCACAGGGTGCAGGCGCTGGGGTGCACGTCCCAGCTCCGCCCCTGAGTGACCTTGCGTGAGTTGTTCATGCTCTTCATCAGGGTCCTCACTCCTAACCTGGGCGTGAGGATAGGGGCCCTTGTTGTGCTGTGAGGACCGAGTGAGCCAGAACAGGTCAGTGCACAGCACAGGGCTTGGCATGTGCTCGACAAACACTGCTGTTTCTGTTTTCCCCTAAAAGAAAAGGGGAGAATTCAGAGATTTAAAAGATGGGAAGGGAGGAGACATGGTCAAATGCTTGTGGCAGAAGAACAGCCCAGCAGCAGCGAAGAGGGTGGTTGGTAAGGGGACAGGTTGGACACAGGAGCCAGAGGCCAGAGGCACACTGTTGCCGCTGTGCAGGTGAGAGCCCATCTGGAGCTCGGTACCTAGCAGGAGCTCAGCAAGTGCTCATGGGAGTGAAGCAGGCGGGCAAGGACTCTGACTGCCCTCCCTTGTCCCCCCAGGCGTCATTGTTCTCTTCTGCCGCCAGTATGACATTATCAAGGACAACGAACCCAATAACAACAAGGAAAAAGCCAAGAGTGCGTCAGAAACCAGCACGCCAGAGCACCAAGGCGGGGGTCTTCTCCGCAGCAAGGTGAGGGCGGGACTTGGACCTGGGCGGGTGGCCCCACGGCTCATGCACTGGGAGTCCCTGGACTGCGGAAGGGGTCAGCTCAGGGCCTGGCATGGCCACAGCTGGGCAGAGCCAAGCTTGGCTGCTGCCTGTGTAACCCAGGGGATACCGCAAATTGATTTTGGATCGTCTCCTAGAGCAGGGTGCCAGGGGCAGGTGGGGTTAAAAGTGTGTGGTGGGGGTACAGCGAATGGGGAGGGCAGAACTCTTGGTGAGTGTGGGACGAGAAGAGAGGGGCCTCTGAGCCTATTTCTGCTGCAGCTGTGCTGTGTGACCTTGGGCAGGCGCTTCATTTCTTTGTACCTTCATTTCCTCTTGTGTAAAACAGATATGAAACCTTTTCAGTGCTGGCTCTGAGCGGCTCAGAAGACAGACAGTAGAGGATGTGAGAGGATCTCATGGTTCTGACGATGATTATCCAACAAACATCTGGCCCTCTCTACATTTCCTCCTCCTCGCATCTCCTTACACCCTCTGGCTTACCGTCCTGTCTCTTGGCTTCTCTCTCTCTGGCACATTTTCCTGAAGCCTCTTATTAACCCCCATCTCCAGAAGCACCTCAACAATGTCTGTGGCTGAGGCTGTACTGAGAGGCAGATCTGCAGGATGTGAGAACCAGCCAGCAGGATGGCTCTGCTGGGGGTGGACCGGGTACCAGGCATGGTGGGTCCAGGACCCAGGCTTGGCCATTCTTCTGAGTGAGGCTGAAGGCTGGGTTTGGAAAGGCAGAGACAAGACATCCAGGCAGGGCTACTCCTTTCCCTCCACGCGGGATAAGAGCCTTGCATTTAGGCCGCAGCCCTGCTGCTCCCTTCCTTCTCGTGTTCTCTCTGTTTCCGACCTCACAAGAAGTCTGTTCGATTAGCCCTGGCCGCTTCTCTCTTTTTTCCTCCCAGTTTCCAAACAAGCTCTCAGTGAACATCATCAAAGCGTGACTGCCTGTCTGCAGGGAGAAGGATTTCATTTTTCTTCTCTGCTGGTCCCCAGGTCCACAGGCACAGGGAGAGCGAGGACTGCGGTGGGGGGAGGTGCAGCTAGCTGCACAGTTCTCTCTCCCCCCATGTCCAAGGCTGGTGAAGGAGACTGAACTACAAACCCAAATTCTGCAAAAAATAAATAAGCCACACTACTCAAAGGCCTGGCCCCATTCTGGAAAAGGCAAAGCTGCATGAGACGCAGCCTTCTTTCTGCGTCCTCTCGTCTCCTGGACTGGCTTCCTCCCTGAGAAGATGCACAAAGCTCCTGGGAGGTGACAGGGACCTGGACTGACCGAAGCTGTCTTTCAGACCAAGAACCATCAGGGAAGCCATGGGGCTGCCTCCAGGGGCTGCCCGCCGGCAGGGCCATGGCTGCCATCAAGCCTTTTCTGGATTCAGCCATCAAGGACTTGCTTGTGGTGTGGTGCACAATTTTGTGAGTGTGTGAGATGTTATCTGTTTTGTCTCTTGGGAAACACAGTCGACGGGCTCCACTCCGGAGGGCGGAGGGATTCCCCGAGCTGGTTGCCTGTATCCTGTCTTCTTTGGCCCTTATTTTGACTGTAAAACCATCAGTCTGAGGTTTTAAGGAGGAAAAGGAGGAAAGACACCTGGAGGTACGGGCCCCATTTCTCTTTAGGAAAAGTCTCTCTGAGTTGTTACGAAGCTAGCTTGGACAACTGAAAAGGTATGTTCCCATGGGACATCCTGAGGGCTGCTAAGTCCCTCACGCTGTAGTGGAAGCTGCTGGAAGGCAGGCCTGACCTCTGGGGTCTTCGTATCTTGCCGTCCCATCCAGGGTTCTGTGAAAGCTACCCAGGGTCCTCATGTCCTTCCCTAGAGCCTGTGTGGTGTGAGGTGACAGGTGTCTCTCCACTGCCCCTTTCTGGTTTAAAAAAAAAAAAAATGGTGCTTGATAAGGGAAGACAGACTCTTCCCTAGACAAGTTGTGGCTGCTGGGTGCCTGCACGGGAAGAGATGGACGGACCCTGCATCTTCCAGGAGAGGCTAAGGACAGGCGTGTGGGAGGACGGTGCCCAGCACAAGCCTGGTGCACGGTAGGTGCTCCGTGAAGACGTGTTGACCTGAGTAAGAGCAATATCCCCCAAGCCAGAGAGCTGAAAGCCATCACCCGGCGACCACCCCTTCCTTCCTGTCTACAAAAGCTCTCCTGGCTGGGCCAGCCACCAGTCTGCTTTGCCCAAGTGTGGAGCATAGGGAGGGAGGAGAGACAGGGTAAACGGCAGATGTCAGCAGTACTAAGGGCTTCCTCATGGGAGGGCATGAGGCTTCACTCATTGTCTTGTGACTTCCATCCCTGCTGAATGGGGCTGCAAGGCCAAGGCTCCTTAGGGGAGAGGTCCTTACCTCTGATCCAGTTAGAGCAATAACCACTTTTTAAATGTAAAATAAAAAGACAAATGAAAAAGCACAGCCTTGTCATCTGGTAAATGCCCAAACGTTGCCCTCTTTTTCCGGCAGTTGGCAGCCAGTCAGTTCTCTCTCCATTTTGGCCTGCAGCTTCCCAGGGACATGCCTGCCAGCCAAGCTGGAGTTGGAAGGGAAATCGCGAGCAGATGGGGGTGCACGTGTGGGAGGAGAGAATAGCTGCTCCATCATCCTATTACTGAGCCCCATCCCCGCCCCGCAAACCAGGCTGGGGCTGCCTCACCACGCAGGTATGCAGGCTGGTGCTGTTTTTAAAACAAAGGGTTTTCCCCTCGGATGGGGCTGGGTGCTTTCCCTGGCCGGAGGAATGCAGTGTGTGTCTCCCAGGGGTGAGGAGGAAGTGAAGAGGAACTGCCAAAGCTGCCTGCTGCGTGTGGCTCAGTGTGCGCAGCACGCTGTTCTGGGCTGTGAAAGGAACATCGTTAGGATCCCAACAGCAGGCTGCAAGGTAGAGTGATGGTGCCATTAGCCCGTGAGCAAACCATGTTGGGGCACCACGGACATTTCGGTCAGAACCAGCAAGAGCTTGGACAATGTCAGGTGAGCGGGGCTTAGGGAAGACTGTTCTGCGAGCAGAAGGAAAGCAGGTCTTAGAGGCTGAGTGGGAAATCCGTTAGCACGCAGAACCCTACCAGTTCTAAGAGGTACTTCCCAGGTCCTCTGTGTCTGCAGTGCCAAATGATGGAGAAGTCCCCAAGTCAGCATCAGGGAGAGACAGCTGTCAGTGGGACTCGGGAAGCACTGCTCATGCGAGAGCTGTCTCCCCTTGACTGTGTCTATAGTAGTGCATAAGCCAAGGGTGTGAGGGGAAAAGGAGCAAACAACACTCCTGGCTCCGACTCCATTGCCTTTAATTAGCTCCCTACACCCCCAAGTTCTTTAACAACTGAGCTTTTCCTCAATCAACTTAGTGGCCCAGAACCGTACAGCTGTGACTTGGGAAATGGTCCTTTCTTTACCACTCACCCCGATCCGCAGACTCCTTACAGTTTGGGAGGGGCCCAGGCAAATTCTTCAAGACTGAAACCTGGCTTGCAAACCACAGAAGGCCTGCGGGAGGAACGCAGGACTGACACACAGTAGACTCAGGCCGGTTACTTGGGGAGTGGGGTGGTTTCCTGTCAAAAACAAGGGGGTAAGACCAGAGGATTCCCAGGTGCTAACCACCACCTAGACTGGGGGCTTAGACAGGAACGAGAGGAAGCCCAGGGTTTAAGGAAGGACCGTGGGATGTTTCTGGGGGCGGGGGGCAGTTCTTTCCTCCTCCAAACCCTGTCCCCTCAAGCACCAGCTTCTCAGTGTGGGCCTCCTCTAGAATCCCCTCTTAAGATCTCTAATTGAACTCTTCACAGAAATATGTAACATTCAGACTTCCACTTTATTTCACACCTTCTTTAAACCTATGTCAGTTTTTGGATTTTGCTTTTAAGAAGTAGCCTCCAAGAACAAATTGTTTACATAAATAGGACACCCCCCCACCCCCAGATCCAACCCCACCAAGCTCCATGAGTGTAATATTCCCAAACCCTCAAATGTTACTTGAAGCTGAATTGAAAATCTTTGCATACAAATAGTTCTTTAATGATACATTTCAGGACTAACACATGGGCTGTTTTGAAGATTATCCAAATGATTGCATTCCACTCCCTTCTTAACAGGGTGGCTGGGGAGGGTCTGATTTTCTGTCTGTGGCATTCCCAGTTGTCATAGGGGGAGGACAGGTGGAGAGGATTTACGAGGCAGGAGCTTGTTCATTGAGGAATTCTACCACTGACCAGCTGACACTTCCTGTGACAAGTGGAAATTTTCCCCCGACAGGTGCTCTGGCATACAAAGCAAACATACTTTAGAATCAGCGTAGGAATAATTGTTTTCTCTTAGAAAAGCAGAAAGCATTCAGAAGAGCAGAGAACTGTTATCTACTTTCAGGTGCTTGGGTTTTTTTCTCCCTGTAAAAGCTCCAAACAGGAGAATGCTTTGAAGAATGGTTATAGAATGAGCCCATTTCTTTTAGAGAAGGCCCATTTCTCCTTGCTTTTCCGCAACATGAAACAAGCTAAGCATATGGGACACCATTTCAGAGAATCCAGCCTGGTCTCTGAAGCCTACCGTCACGCTGCTGAGAAGGAAACAAGCAATTACTGGACAAAAGATCACCTACCTGACCAGAACAAAATAGAGATGCACAGATCAGAAGCACCTCAGGTTCAGACAAGAATATCAAATAGTATTTAGCAAATTTAAATGGAACCTTTTGCTTGGACTGTAAAATATATACTAGACAAACTTTATAGAACAGTGGCACAGAAAGCCTGTCCAAACATGTTGCCACTTATTTTCTCAGCAAGAGCTGAGATTTAAAAAGCATTGGCTAATACAGGTGCCGAGCTATTACTGCCTTCCCTTTCATCCTTGCTCCTGGGGGGTAAGTCTAAGAAGCTCAGGCCCACAAAAGGGATCTAAGAAACACTGTCTCCCACACCTACCCATACTTATCCTGCCTTCACCCCAGATTCTAGGAGCGGTCAATTTCTAGAGAAGAACCATCAATTTTGTACTATTAATTCTGACTTCACATCCCTTTCAAAGGGACAATGTCCCAGGATAGCTTCTTCCTTAATCAGTGCTGCCTCTGGAGAGCAGAGACCCAGAGGTCAACCGCAAGAACATGGGAAGGAATGCCAGGCCATGTCTGTTTGAACAGGCTGAGCTGTCTCTCCCCTCTGCAGAAACAGCAGTGCAGTGATATTTCAGGCTCTCCCTATGCAGGCTCCTGACATGCCCTATATGTAGCTGCAAATCCCAATCAACTTCAACGCTTCTTCACTGCTGGAGTGCCTTTCTCAACACTGTAATTTACCCTCAAAAGAATAGGGAACATGCACCCTTACCTCCCCAGTAGCACATTCTAATTGCCATCCCCTCCCATATCCCACTAGCCTACCTACGCAGAGGAGGAAGGAACCTTTGTTCAGAGCCTGCAACAGACGGTCACAGTACATATGCCACTAACGAGAACTTTTATTTCTTTTTAATGACATTAAACACAACAGCTACAAGCGAAAAAACATGATAAAGAGGAGGCACCAAACTTGCTTCATAATTGATCCCAACAACAACTCAAGTAAACCAGGGCCTGCATTAGAGGAAAAACTACAGATAAACCATATAAACAACACATTTTTACTCTGCTTTATCAATACCCCTGTGGTGAGAACGTCTTCATGGATAAAGCAAGCTAGGTAGGCAATTAAGTGTACATAACATAAAATAAAGCAAGAATTCCACATGAAATTCTAGACTTAGAGGCCAACACCAAATATGACATATGCATCTTTAAAAACACTGAAAACTCCAGATTTTACCCACTACCACCTTTAAGGCGAGCATGCCTGATAATGAGTTTTCTTTGGCTTTTCTTCTCCTTAAAGAATATCATGTTAACTGCTTGAGAACAGTTCTCTCCTCCTCCTCCAGTCCAACAGATTTAATTAAGCTGCTAAAGCTTTGGAAAAACAGAATTATTTGAGCAAAGAGGAAATGTGATTGTCACACTTTGCAGTTAACCTGTCACTCATTTGATTTGGCAAAGACGATGCTCCCATTACACATTCAGACTTTAAACCCTTTTGTACCAAGGAAGCAGAAACACGAGTCTTAGATTTTTGCTGAAGCAAAACACTGTCCCTTCACTCCTTGGGTTATCTATGGGGAACCAGACAGCTGCAATGCAAGCTATTCCAGCTGTAACTGATTTAGCTCTGCTGTGGTTCCAAAGGTAGATGGCTGCTTGTCTTGCTCTCTCAAGCTAATTTAGGGAAACCTGGAGAAGTGACTAATGTACTAGATGACAACTGAAAGAACAGATTTGACTCTTGCATTTGAACAGAACTTTTTAGCATTTTGGTTTCAAAATTAAACTAAATGTCCAAGGAATAGAAAATCTTTAACTGGATAAAAACAGTATATACTTAGGGGCATCCATCTAAATTTACTGGTAGCTTGAATGACCAAGCTTTTCCCCAGTCCATTTCTAAAGCAGGGAAGGATGTTTAAGATAGATTACTCACACAGGTGGAGCTGATGAAACAACAGAACCAGACAGAAGCAGCTAGTCCAATAGCACAGGCTGCGCTGCAGCAACTGTGCATAACCTTCACGGAAAGTGAACAGCATGAATGCGGGACTTGCACAATCTCCCAAAAGATGTCTAGAGATGTCTGTAAAGCAGGAATAGCAAACTGCTAAGGCATGCATTAAGATGGCTGCACAAAGTTGGTCAACTTGTGTTAGAGCAGGAAATACTTAAGGTCAGGTAATGCTTTTGTGTATAGGCTTACTCACAGCTTGATTAGACCCACTTCAGCAGCTTTGTGGAACTTGCTGGGGAAGGACTGCGGAGTGTTTCTTTGGGGGCAGGAGCCCTTTTCTCCTAATCCTGTCCCCTTGAGCACTAGCTTTTCAGTATGGGCCTCCTCTAGAATTCACTTTTAAGGTCTCTAATTCACCCCTTTACCGGAATATGTAACATCCCACCAAACATCATGTGATGTTTCAGAGGTTTGACCAAATAAGTAGATAACATCCAAGGTCTAAAGGCACGTTTTGCTGACTAATAATGGAGACAAAGGAGTGCCTCTCCAAAGTTGCTCTCATAGGAGGGAGGCTCACTAACACATGACCTCATACTTCAAGTTAGGGTTCAGCAGACAAAGTGGAAGACCCATTGACACCTCAATGGCACTGGCTTCCTGGCCTGTCCTGAAGTCAAGACCCTAGACGAGCAGCTCTTCAATAAAGAGAGTAGGGAGACTGTTCTTAAGAGGCACGTCCATGTTTAACAGGAGTGTATGCCAGTCAGACCCTAGAGCACAGTGGTCAACGGGGAAAAAAGGAAAATCCTTGAAGAAAGGCAGAGGAGACAGCTACAAGACCACAGATCAACGTGGGTTGGTCAGCAGTCTTCTGTCAGTTAAGATGTATAAGATTTGCAAACACTATTGTGCAAAGTAAATTTGATGAATTAAATAAAAGCCAAAAAAATAAAGGCAGATAGTAGGTACAAAAAGGAGAGAAGATTTGCACTTTTAATAAAAAGTCCTGTTGTTCTTTCAACAGGGCTTTTGTCCTGCCCCATCCTACTTCAAACATCTTGGATAACCAACTTTAAAATTTTGACAGGTATTTAGAGATTAAAACAAAAAAAAAAAAGGAGTTGTTAAAAGTGACTCGTTGCCATTTACATGTCATAAGCAATAATTAACACTAGCTTTGCAGCCTGATAAAAAATCTCTTCCTTAGAGATTAAAAGATGATTTCTTTTGGGCACCAGTAAAGTTTACTTCTGCACGAAGGTGGGCGTTTTGCTTAAGCCAGGGTGTTTTGGCTTACTGTTGGCTTTCAGGAGGCGGCCGCCTTCAATTTAAAGAAAAAAATAAAAACTTTATCAACTAAACACTGTTTAAACACACACACACACACACACACACACACACACACACACACACGAACTTTATACAAAAAATTCAAGTCAGCAGTGGGTATTTCCAAAAGATGACAAGTTCTTTAAATAAAAATATTGTGAAAAATAAAATTCAAAATCTGCAAAGCACAGAACGGCAGGAGAAGATGAGCTGCTGCTCCGGACAGGACCCTGGACAGGGACTTTCACCATTGATGGGATGTGACAGACACACTGTACTGGGTATCTTAGAGACTCTGGAACCGCTGGTGGCTTCGCTTATTCCTGTCAACCCACTCAGTCAGACTGTATCTTTCCAAAGGTTTCTGTCGGAGACGGGCATAGTTCCTATTAGGAGAGAGGGAAAGTAAAAACAAAAGATGAAGGTTTGAGCTGGTATGGCTATTTGCATACAAGTATTTTAAGAATATCATTACTTTAAGAAATCAGGTATTAATTTTATATTTCAAGTCTCACAATTTTAGAAATTTTATATGCAAGTCACATTATAACTACTACTTCCTTCCGAATTCCAAAGCTACCTAATTCCCAAACAGGAAATATGGTATAAGGGCACTATACACAAATGTCCCAAGAAAACCCAATATACAATGTATACTAATGATTAAGTAGGAAAAAAAATGTCTTCCTCCAGAAACATTTAGAACAGGATCTACATTTCATTGCTTGCATCAAAGCTGTACTTCCAACAGGACCTCACTGTCTGACACAGCTCAAGGTTGCTCAGGACACGGCAGTTAAAATTAGAATAAAATTCCCAGAGAAGGTAAGTCATCATGTGAGTATCACACTGCAAGTTTAGAGACTGAACAATTAATAGCACAGACTTAAGAGTTTCTTGAGAGTCTCCTTTAGTCATGTGCTGGGCTGGGGTTCTGAACATGACCCACTGAGATAATGTGAGCCCATCCTCAACTCCAGCTGTTCCTAATAACCACCTGGGAAGCTTTTTAAAGATACAGATTCTTGACCCCTGTCTCACCACCAGACTTAATGATTTAGGATCCCCATAGTCAGAGCCTGGACATCTGTATTTTTAGACACCTCCACAAGTGAATACAAGGAATAGCCAGGATTGAAAATAATTATAACAGTACCTGACATTTACCTAGCCCTGTATGTAAGCACTTGCTGAATTCTTTCAACACCTCATTTAATGCTAAAGACAATCCTATGAGAAAAGCACTCTCATTAACAACTTGTACACATAAGGAAAATGATGCTCAGGTTAAATAATTTGCTCAAGGTCATAAAGATCATATAGTGAAGTAGAAGAGCCTGGATTTGAATTCACATCTGACTCCAGACTTTATCTAATAACTGTTACACTACACTGTTTTTCTGACAACTACAGAGGAAACAATGAATGTAAAGGCTGAAGTAGGAGAGTGTCTGACATACCTGAAAAATAGCAAGTTAGCCAGTGTGACTAGAGTAGAGTGAACAAAGCACCAAGTAACAGGAGATGAGGTTGGTGAGCTACCTATGTCAGCCTATGCCATGATTCTCAGAGAATACACAGGGGATCGTGAAGATGGGAAGATGTGAGATGAAAAGCCACTGGAAAATTCTGAGCAAAGAAAAGAATCTGATTTATGATTTATGCTTTCAAAGAATCTCTAACTGCTGAGCTGAGAACATCAGACAAGGCAAGGAAAGAAACAGGGAGACCGTTTTAGGAGATTTGCAATAATCCAGGTGAAAATGGTGCAAAATGGCCAGATTTTGGATACATTTTATATGTAGAGCTTATAGGATTTGTTAACGGACTGAACATAGGGTAAGAGAGAAAGGAGTCAAAGGTGACTCCAGGGTTTCTGGGTAACTAGATCAAAGTAACTGAATAAATCTGAAAGATAACACTGCACCAAGAATCAGAGCCAGAAAGACGCTTTGACATCAATTAGTCTAGTATACTAATTTTACTAATGCAAGGACTGGAGAAGTAAAGTGATTGTAGCAAAATCATATAGCTAAGCCCTGACTGGTGTAGCTCCATGCACTGGGTATTGTCCCGCAAACTGAGAGGTCGCCAGTTCACTTCCCAGTCAGAGCACATACCTGGGTTGCGGGCAAGGTCTCTGCTTGGGGGCGAGCGAGGGGCTACCAATCAATGTTTCTCTCCTCCCTCTTTCGCCCTCCCTTCCCCTCTAAAAATAAATAAATAAAATATTTTTTAAAAATCATAAAGCTAATTAAAAACTGCAAGGCTAATATTAGGACCAGGTTTCCTGAATTTCAGTCCAGTTCTTATTCCATTATACTATATTGCTTCTTTTTCCATTTCTGGAATTAAATAATTATAACGCAACTCCCCACCACATTCCTCCTATAGCTAAATTCTACCCTCTCCTCCTTCTAATCACCCACTCACCGAATGGTGAGGTCCGAAGGATGCGAATGGTTATGCCTATGATGAACTTGATCCATCAAAGAACACAGTTCCACCAAGGCACCTGCAATACAGAGAGATCTGTGGTTAGGAAGCCACTCAGCGAACTTCCACGTCAGCCTAGGTCAAAGCTTTCAGAGAAAAAAAAAACAGGCACTGGTCCTAATACTGTCTATTTATGATTATCACAAGCGCTCAGCACAAAAACTACAAGCCAGAGAGGGAAGCTTGTTCTTGGATGATGATGATGAAGAATAAGAAACAATAATGACAGCCACCATTCATTCTTTCATTCATTCATTCAACATTTATTAGCTCCTACAATGTGTGAACTATGAACTATGGTGGTATATAAGACACCCTATCTGCCCTCAGGTGATTCCAAAATTTGTGATTATGTGCAATGACAAAAAGTACAGGCTGCAATGTGAGCACAGAGACTGCAGAATAGGGGGTTAGAGAAAGTCCCCTCCAAGGGAAGTAAACTATAAGCAAGGATCTAAAGGATGTGAGAAGTTAATGAGATAAAGAAGGGTAGAAGTGGTGGTGTCCAAGAGAAATCGCTAATACAAAGGCCTGGAGACACAAGACGGTACAATACATTCAAGAAAAGAGAAACTGAGAATAGAAGGGGGATGGAGGCTTTTTGCTCAACAAGAAAGATTGCTGGAGGCAATTTCTGAGAAACTTGGGAGTCTAGCAAGGTGCTAGGAAGCACTTTATACATTATCTTAATTTTTAAAAATATCTTAATATGGAGGTAGATGTTATTAACATCATTTTGGAGATGGAAAACTATAGCTCAGGGAGGAAGACTTGCCTTAAGAGCTTATTAAACTGAACTCAAAACTAGCTCCTGTTTGAGTCCAGCTTTTGCCACTATTCAATCATGCTAATTTTGCACTTACGGGTTGAGACGTAAGCTGAAGCTTACAAGAACAGAAATTGTAATTAGAATAAAATAATTTCCCCAGACCAGCAGCTCTCAAATTTTAACATGCACCATAATCAGCTGGCGGTATTATAAAACAGATGGCTGGGACCCAGCCCGAGTTTTGATTCTATAGGTCTGAGTGGGACCTGAGAGTTTGCATTTCTTACAAATGCCCAAGTGGTGCTGATGCTGCTGGTCTGGGAATCACACTTTGAAAACCACTGCCCTGGACAGTGGAGATTTTTCTTTCAGCTAAATTACGTATTTCTCATTATCTCATCTACTCTGTTCCAGGAACCAAGAGCACTCTAACTAGGCTACAGACAATTTTTTCAAGTTCTGGTAAAAAATATTTACTTAACTTTTAGAATGAACTAAATTTATTTGAGGCCTCAAGAAGCTGAGCTTTGTAAAAAAAGTATCTACTTTGGAGTTAGGCGGATGAATTAAAATTCCAATCCAGTCACTAACTAGCTCTTTGACCCTGGGCAAATAGTTTCATTTCTTCTGGCCCTGCTTTATTCATCAAGGAACTGTAGACAATAATATTTAGCTTGAAGCTAAGTACTAAGAACACAGTCCATAAAAGACCTAGCATATTGCGTAGCACACAGCCCATGTGCAGTAAGTAGTAGCTATTATTGCAGTGTTACAGCCTCAGGCTTGTGTCAGTTTAGTCTTTAAATGCCATGATAATCAATTGCCTATTTGTAAGGAAAAATGCTCATTAAATGTATGAACTATGACACTCAGGAGCACTCAGCAAAAACTCTCTAACCATACTGAGATAATACTTTCCAGGAAAAATTTATAGATTCACTACATCAAAAGTTTCTGTGCAATTAAAATAAAAAAGCTCAACCAAGGGTAAAAGAAGGCAATTGACTAAATGAAAAATATATCTGGAACACATTTGTTTCAGATACTGGCAAGGCTTCAATGTCCTTTTTCTACAAAGATAACTCATAAACACAACAAACATAACACAAAATAGGTCAAGGACATGAACAGGCAATTCACAAAAGTAACATAAGTGAACAATAAACATAATGAAAAGATGTTCAATAACACTAATATGGAAAGAAAACATATTAGTCTCACTACATAAGGAAATATAAAGCAAGAACAAATTTCCTCTTTAAGAAGGGAAGTATCTTTTATTTAGAAAATCCCTTGCCTTCTAGATTTGTTTGGCTAAAATCAAAGGTCTTGATTTGAACTGCCTCTTTCCTTTGTACCCTGCTTTTACATCACTGACACTCATTTCCCCTCTAGTCCCCACAAAAGGATGTTGTACTGGGGCAAAAATCAGCTTTGTACCACCAAAGGAGCGCTGGCAAGATAGGGAAATTCTGGTGTCCAAGCTGAAAATGAAACAAGATTATCTATAGACCATGTCCTTCAGTTCACTTATCTCTTACCACCTAGACTCTATAAAATTGCCCAGAAACCTACACGCGTTAATCTAAAAGAAGAAAAAGACTAGTCAGTTATGCCAAGGAGGCTTCAAGTATTCAACTGCTAGGTACCATAATCTAGTGGCAGCAACTTACACATCAGGCACTGTCCTATGTGTTTTATATATATGAATGCATTTATTCCTCATAACAATCATATGTGGTATTTTCCCCATTCTACAGATAAAGAAACTGAGACACAGGAGAAGTAATTTGTCCAAAGTTACACAGCTAGTGACAGAGTCCAAATTTCAACAATACCATGGTTTGAGTTTCCTTAAAAATTTTTCTGGGACGGCCCTGACAAGTGTGACTCGGTTGGCAGTCATACCTCAAAGCAAAATGTCACTGATTTGATTTTTGGTCAGGGCACAGGCCTGGGTTGCAGGTTTGGTCCCAGTTGGGGAGCATAAGAGAGGCAACCAATACATGTTTCTCTCCCCCTCTTTCTCCCTCCCTTCCCTTCTCCTTAAAAATAAATTTAAAAAAAAAGGAAAAAAATAGGAAGGGAGGGAGGAGAAAGAAGGGAGGGAAGGAAGGGAGGGAAGGGAGGGAGGGAAGAAAGGGAGGGAAGGAAGAGAAGAGAAAAGGAGAAAAGAAAAAAGAAAAGGAAAGAAAAAAGAAAAGAAAAGAAAAGAAAAAAGAAAAGAGAACATATCTCTTGCATAGTCAGTTGGTACCTGGCACAGCACTCTGTAAACAAAGGCTCAATAATTAGGTCTCAGCTCATGCACAAAAAATGTTAGTTTTCATTAGCACTAAGAACTTACTGATGAACTATGGTAACCTTTATTATTAATAAGACTTAATAATCTAGAGATAATGACAGCTAACATTTATCAAGCATTTATTATGTACCAGGCACTTTGCTGACTGCTTTGCATGTATGCTATCATTTAATCCTAAAAACCACATGAGGCAAATATCATAATCTCCATTTACTCATGAGTAAATGGAAGCTTAGAAAAGATACTCATCTCTCATCTAGTAAATGGGAAAGCCAGGATTCAAACCCATCTGGAGCTAATAATCCAAAAATCTTATTTCAGCTCATAGCTTGAATCTCTTCTTCCTCCAAATTTAGAGATGCTAACAAGAATGGAAACATTATTTCAAATTTTGAATTTTCTCTTCCCTTCATAGTCTCTAGCAGATGGGTTTTCTTGGACCAACAATCGGTAGGAGTTTATTTTAAGTTGTGGCTAAAAGGTGGTGAAAGCTGTCTTTTTGTTTTGTGGCTAAGAACGAAAATCAGCTAAGAATGAACTTAGGAGGAAAAAAAACCCTCAACATTTCAGGAATGAGATCAGCAATTCTTCTAAACCTTTATCTATAAGTATGTAGCTGACTAGTTGCGGGGGAAATTCAGTCTAATAACTGCCCTTAATAAGTTAAAAGTGAATCAATTGTTATAAAGGAGGAAGAATGATAACGCTGAGTGCTTGCTATGCCAGTGGCCCTTCTGACAGACTTTATGGCAGCACATTTTGTATCACATGACCCTACTCAATCCAGTGTGGCACATGACCCAAGGACAGAGAATCTCTCAGCTGGCTTATGACTTACAAGCTGCCCAGGCACCAACAAGTCATCAAGTGAATCAATCAGATATTCTCCTTTGTAATATGAATGTAAGCTTTAGTAATGAGAACGAGAGAGAGAGAGAGAAAGCACACAGACAGGAATCTAGGGAACAGACACTTGAGACAGCTAACAGCAGCAGCAGCACTAAATCAGCAGAAACAGCACTAAATCAGCAGGGAAAACCTGAGTAGGAAACAAAGGCACCTGTTTCTGAGGGGGCCTGGCTCTATGGCTGATTCTCTTTCCTATGAGGTCTGGCTAAGTTGTTGAACATCTAATAATCTTCATTTTTTTTCCTATAAATCCTTAAACTTAGTTACTTATAGGCAAACACAATGTCTCTGCCATGCAATCAAAAAAATGCCAAGTACAGGGGAGGGGAAGAAAAGGGAAGAAAAAATGTGCTATATGGGTGTAGGCTACTGCTTTTATGAATAGACTAATAAAATGGGAATAAAAAGAAAAAAAGATTAAGTAAAAAGAATGTAAACATGTCACCTATAGGTAAACAAAACTGCACTGATCTAGTATAAATCTTGACTGATTTTCCCTGCAGACAAGGCAAAAGCAAAAAAAAAAAGAAACAGGAATTACTATAAAACTCTTTTCTGAAGTGACATATTACATGGGGAATATTGAACTATTTATGTAAAGTTGTCAACAGTAATGGCAAATGCAGAATAAGAATTTATGTAACTATTGTTGCTTTTGACCTTCAGTAAAACTCAAAGCATAGACTTCCACTTCCAGTCACAATGAATGCATTGCAAGTAACTAGAAACTGGACAAAATATATGACACTTTTTTCAGACTACTCAGAATTGTTAATGTGCATTCTTTATTTTTCCCTTAAAGTTGGGGGGGTGCGCATTATATACAGAAAAAATACAGTAATTCTCTAATTAATAGACTTAAAAAAAACCAAACTACGTGATCATCTCAGTAGATGCAGAGAAGTATTTAACAAAATCCAAAATCCACTTCTAATAAAAGCTCTCAACAAACTATAAATAGGAGGGATCATCCTCAAGCTGATAAAAGAGTATCCAAGAGAAACCTAAAACATAAAGTTAATGGCAAAAGACTATT